GGTCGGTGTATAATAATTTAAGAAAGTTAGATAAAGCCCCTGATATCAGCATAATAGCAAAAAACCTATTCATGGACATGGCAGAAAAAATTGCAAAACAACTTGCAATAACCAATTGCTTTGTCTGTGGGGGAACCACCACAGGAGAACAGTGGCCATGGCAAGCCTTAGAAGCCTCGCCATCACTGTTCAACAACATATCTTCTATAGGAAACATAACAGCCAGAACTGCCCCCGACCCCCTTATCTGGACAATTACTACCAATCTAATCGGTAGAAACTGCTTCTCCCGAAATGGGTCCATTCCGGTAGGACATCTCCTTTGTTTAGGTACGTGGGACATCTCCTACCGGAATTGGACAGCACCTGATAATGCTACTACCACACCCACAAAATTCAACACAACCCTCCTCCCTTATCTCAGGGACACTTCATCCTCCCAGAACTGGACTACACCCAATGACATGTATTGGATCTGCGGCAACCTAGCCTACCCATCCCTCCCAGCAGGTTGGCAAGGGTCATGTGTATTGGGATGGATAAGACCTTTCTTCTTCCTCCTTCCAATCTCAGTGAAGCAGGAACTAGGCATCCCTGTTAATGACATGTTGTCTCACAAAAAAAGGGAAGCCGACAATGCTTTTGCAGGCTTCCCCTGCCAATCAGAATACACAGGGGACACCTGGACCTCAGAAAGAATCATCTGCACCTATGGCATGGCTACTTGGGCCCAAGACGGGTCTTATGGGTACAGGACCCCCATATATATGCTTAATAGAATCATTTGTTTGCAAGCTGTCTTAGATTTAGCAGGTCAACGAATAGATAAGGCTCTAAACACTCTTGCAACTGCTACAGACAAATTATGCACAGCTGTCTACCAAAATCGCTTGGCTTTAGATTATTTATTAGCCAAGGAAGGGGGGGTATGTGGAAGGTTTAATCTCACAAATTGCTGTCTTCAAATTGACAAGGTTGGCAAAGTCGTAGCACAGTTAACTACTGAGATGCAACAATTAACCCACAATCCGGATCAAGTATGGCGAGGTATGGACCTCAAAAATATCTTTGGCTCCTGGCTCTCAAAACTGCCAGGATTACAAGCTATAGTAACGCTCATAGGTATTATTGCTGCTGGGTGTGTCATTCTTCCATGTATATTACCAATCTTTGTTCGCACCATCTCCAATAGTCTGTCACTGCTAGCAGAAAAACGCGCCATTGCACAGGTCAATGCCCTCTGGGAAAAAGAATCTCTGTACAAAGCTATACCCTCAGAGGACCCCGATGAGAACATGCGCACGGGCTTCTGTATGGGCTATAGCGAAGAACCAGAAGAAATCCCTCTGTGTAAAACTAAAACAGAGGAGATGCAGCAGCGAATCCACATCTAACAGCCTGGGCATATGCCAAGCCTCACGTAGGCAAAGGAGTTTCGATACCTGCAAGACCTCACGTAGGCTGAAAGCAGGTATCAGGAACAAAAGGATGCTGCCCACCTTGGGCTACTGGCTGGACTTCAGGCACGCATTGATTACTTTGTATCCCTTAAGCACTGTGATTGGGTGCTACAATGTATCCACTGAGACCCCCCACTCTTTTAACATGTAAAGTAGACTGAACTTTCTCTTTTGTGACGTTTAACAATGTGTGTTCAATAAAAGAGCTTCCCTGAGCGCGTGTTCGGGGCTGCTCATCCAAGACTGAACCGGCTTGATCTCTTTCTTGATGCATTGGACTCAATGAGAAGCCCTCCTAATGCGGAGCAAAGCCGCAGTTCACGATCTCCTGGTTCCTAGCCTGGGGTTGTAACCAAACCAGCACACCAAACTGATTGTCTTGCATAACTTTTTGTTATAGTTTGCACTTAAATGGATGCTATTGAATGGTGCAGGGAGCCATTTAAAGCATCAGTATAAAAACCAGAAGAGAATGAAAATTATCATCAGTTGGACATTCTCTCCCTCCCTCCCTCCCTCTCTGACATATAAAGGAAACAATGGCAAACAATGGCTGAAATTTTGCCAACAGGAACTGTTGGGAAAAATTGACTGAAAGGTACACATACAAATATAAGCATGTGTTATAAAAGGATAGTGTCAAATATAGCGAGATAAAAGAAGGTCTTGGTTATAATCTATTACTTGGGGATCCAAACATAAAGCCAGCTGCTAAAGAAGCCAGTTACTATCTCTATGCTACTTTAAAGTATTAATTCAATCAAGGGCAGGCAATATTATCAAACAGGCACTTCCCCAGATCAAATTTATTTATTTCTCTTTCTGCCTCCTCTCTACCAAGGAATAGAACCACCCTCCTTAAAGGTTCTTGGGGAAGGGGATAGCAAAGACTGGAGAAATCCTTCAATTAGCAGGTGTTTGTGAGCTAGCAAGGAGCTCCTTATCTGCATACCAGAGATTAGGGAACTTGGGAACATGCCCAGTGTCCTCTTGAAAGAAATTATCCTTTGAAATGAAAATAACAGGACCTTTTTCATTCATGGGAGTCATCTCCTTTTAGAAATCACGTGCACTGAAAAGTCCCATAATCCCAATATATTTTTTTAAAATAAAAATATTATAAATTTTATTTACTGTCATAGAGAAACCTCGAAAATCTCCTCTATTGCCTCCTCCAGTGCTTCTATAACCTCCTTCATTCTGTTGTGAATGAAAGGAAGACATTGAAAAGATTTTGAAGTGTTGAATATCCCCAATTCACTCCAAAGTGAATTATCTACTCCAATTTTTTTTGAGCAATCATACTGAAAAATTAAAAAATTGTATTTATATTGAGAATAAGCAATTGAGGTAAAAAAAAAACCCCTCTGTTTGAAACCAGATACCTCTTTTGGTGACTTTTCCATCTTCCTAGTTTTAAAGCCACATCATTCATTTTAAGTTCTCTGTTGTTTTTGTGCCATAGAGAGCATTGTATTTTGATACTTCTTCCAGTAATTCATTGACTGAATCAAATGATTGGGGGGTGGGGAAGTCTTGTGCAAGTTGGAATATCCCTAAATATACCTAAAATGGCTGTTGTTGCTTGTATAAGAGACTCGGACAATTTTGATTATGCAAAAGGAATACAGTTTATATTGGTATCAGCAATCAATGGCTGGCAAGCTAGGGTTACATATGTTGGAAATTATTTTGTTTGCCTATACATTAAAAATAATACACAATCATATGTGGAGCTGTCTTTGATTTATTTTATGAGTATATAAAACTGAAGTTTCCTTTTTCATCAAATGTCTAAAGTGGTATTTGCCAGTACATCTATTATTTCTATTTAAGGCCTGAAATGCAATAATTATTATATCCAATGTATACAGAATAAAAAATATATCCTATACTTTTCTCATTGTCTATTGTTTTGCTTTCCAAAGGCTTATTGGTCCTGTCAAGTGTTTGTGAGATTTTTATCTTGCTACAACAATTTAAGATACCAAGGAAATTCTCCCATCATCATTTCACCTGGCTTCCCCCTCACTCACACACTGAAATCTGGACAGTATCAGTGTATTTAGCTGAAAATAATACCAAAGCCCCAGTAGAATCCTCCTATCTGTAGATCATAAAGAGATATGATTAAAAAAAGGAACTTATAAATGTTCAAGTGCAATGTTGCTTAAATGTTTTTTTTCCTCTAGGGACAGCTTCCTACTTTTAAAAATTATGGAAGACTCCAAAAGAGCTTTTGTTCAAGTTATACTTATTCACATTTATCATATTAAAAATAGATGAATTTGCTGCCATTACCACTTCTTCTAACTGTTTGTTGGGATTTTAATATTGTATTTACCATAGGCTGGCAAATAATTTTGATTTTGTAGACCTTTGTCAGATTATTGGGGGAACCCCAGGGTCAGACCACATGTAAGAAAACACTATTTCTAAACTCTGCATTTTTAATTGGGTGTCCTGCAATCATCTGATAAAGAAAATAGACATTTCTTCCGTGTCTTTTCTTTTAGTTACTTATACTCATTTTTTACTTTCAAATAGTACTACAATTTTTTCTACCTGGATAAAAAGAAAACTATTGAAACACTCTTAAGCTTTTTTTTAAAAAAAACCTCTTGAATAATTTTAATAGAAGACTTATGATGTATGTAAAATGTAGGCAAATTTGGGGACCTGGAGACACATTTACAAAGTTGAGACATAACAGGAACACTCTCACAAAAGGGCCACATGCAGGATTTTACATATACACCAAATGGCTGTCATAGTGATATGGTCAGCCATAAAGCACCAATTTAGTTAATAGCCAATTGGAAAGGTTGCTCGGTTTCTACTACTTCCTCTCATTTCAAGAATTCTCTCTATCACCTCTCCTTTGTCTGCCCTTTTTGTGACTAAGTAGGTATTTTCCTAAAGTAGCAGGCAGCATCTCCTCATCCTTTTTCTTGTCTAGGAATACCCCAGTAGTCTACAGGAAGCCCAGAAACCTTTTTAGAAATAATGATAATGCAGAAGGGCTTTTGCAGCTTCCTACATTCCCAGGTTTAGCTTGTTTGTTTTGAATAAAAAGAATTTAAAATCATTTTTAAAAATTATAAGAATCTAAAATGTAAAGTCAGACACAGAATATGTGGGGAGGAGCAAGAGAAATGACCTTATGAACTAAGTTGCTGACTTGTGAAATAAGTGCCAATATATCACACTAAAGTTAGATTTTAAAAAATAAATTCTGCAGCTTGTCCATCTTCAGGGGATTTTGTTTCATTATGACCTCAGGTCCTTCCTCTTCTTTGAATCAAGAACTTCATTATACTACAGACGGTGGTAATTGAGATATATAAAGCCAAAGTTGTGGCTTCCTCTTAAATACGCAACTGTTTTCCTTTGTAGCCTAATTGCTGAAGAAGATATAGCCTAAAACCAACGTTTTTGAATGGTGGACTGAAATGAATTAGCTATAGTAAGGATATATTTTGGAATGCAACAAAAATTTTATAATCTGTATTTTGTGGACTTCTAGGTCAGTGATGCAACCGTCAAAGATACTATCTGGAAAATAGAGGTATGTGAAGTAGTCATCATTAGGTAAGTGAAAGGCAAGCTTCTACATGGAAAGGAAATATCAAACAAATATTTTTTTCTGAATAACATCATGTTGAAATTACTGCAAAGTGGCATATGGTAAATTATATTTAAAGTGTACATTGTATTTTATAAAAACAAGTTTTTCCTGAAACTAGTAGCATGTTGGCAGCATGGCATAATGAATACAATGAATCTTACTCCTGTGGTCACTTGAGCAGGATTGCAACATAAGCGTGTCTTAGACTTCTTGATCACAAGGACATTTATTTTAAGTAAACATGCGTGAGATCACATTGACTAACAAAACTCTTAACTAACTATTATGCTGATGTTACTAAGTATTACTTTATTAAAAGTATAAAAGTGAATCTTACATAGCAGCTTTGGGAAGTGGAATCTTAACTACAACAATAATGTTAGTTATGAACAAGCAAGTTTTGATGGGCAAAGAGCAAAATTGTTTCTTGGAGACCAATGCCAGCAAAGTGAATGAGGTTATTCCAGACATAAAGAATGAGGCTTGTTTTAGAGAAGGGAGTTTGTAATAATCCTGTTTGAGGATTTATATTGCCAGTCTCATTTTTTTTCAACAAGGCACAAAACTGCTGTCAATTTTCAGCAGTCATGGTCAGAGATAATTCCAAAGACCACTAAAAGGGGACTTGGGGCCTCCAATGGCCCTGGGATTGCAGGGTCCCCCTGTTTGGCATAGGAAACAAGCTAATTCTTCTCCTGTTTCAATTCAAATTGATCAATTTAATAAAAGCAAAAACCAAAGACCCAATTTTATCAAGGCTATTTTATAATGTTATCAAAGTATTTATATAACACTCTGCAGTTTCCATTTAAAAATGGGAGATTGACTGGCACCCCTGTGCATAATTTTTGGAAGACATAAGTTTTGGAAGACATAATTTTTGGAAGATGACTAAATAAAATAAATTTGCCCTGCATACTTGCTGCATTAGGATGTGATCCACAGAGTCTTAGTGTGTGCTGTAAATTACATGACTCATTTCTGCATTATCAAAAAAGGAGAAAAAATAGAATGCAGATTTGCATTAGATTGACATAATACATACAGACATAGATTTAGAAATAATGATGACATTTTCATGAATACAATTTATCTTATAATAGTAGCAAAGGTTGTATCAAGATGATTCATGTATGTATTCTGTAAATTCTCAGTAGACTGCTATGGCTCTTGCTTCCTCATTTTAAATGGCCATGCTATCCATAGAAGACAGGGCTATGCTAGACAGATTTCTGGCCTGACAGACTGCTTGCATAAAAAAACTGGAACTAAACACGTCCCAAAGGTGCTTTTTCAACTGGACTTTCTGGTTTTACTTTGAAGATGCTTCACTTCACATCCAAGACACTTCTTTAGCTCTGATTGGATAGTGGAGAATGGAAAGAATGAAGCTGAACATGAATTACTCTACTTGGCAAGAGATGGGAGTTTGTAATAATCCTGTTTGAGGGATTTGAGGGGTTACCATCACTGCTTACAACCTCCCCCTAAATAATGTTTCTTTTCCTTAGAGAAGAAGAATAATGGGAGTAATGCTAAATGGTTGGCCTTTGCATATGAGGCAAGGGTATATAGAAACATTAAAGATTTCTTAATTCCTTTTTACAGGAAGATTAGGCCTTAAGGCAAATGGGGAGAGATTAATTTATGTGGCAGAGAGCTTCAGACCTAATTGCACTATATAGGCTGGGTGTTAATATGTGCTAACCTGATCAAATTTGAACTTTTGGTATGAATTATTATTTACATTTAGAGAAAAGAGTTTGGAGATGGAGCATAGTAAAAGTTAGTGAGATTAGGATTTGACACATAGGATTTGATTTTGACTTGACTTGACTGTGGCTGAAATGTAAAGTATTAACTGCACCCAATTTAATCACCAAAAGAGAAGCTACCAAAGGACTCAGACATGAGTAAGCTCATTTGTTTAAATAGCTCTGAATTCAGTAGATAAAAACTGACGGTATGGTTAAATGCTCTAGATAATGTGCAGCCAAGCATTGATTAGAATAATCAGTGCTTGACTGCACATTCCAGGTAGGATTCCCGGTAGGATTCCAGGTAGGATTCATTATACTGTTAGATCAAGGGTACCAAACTGGCCAGATCATGTGCAGCTCCGTGAAGGGGAAAAATTAATAATTATGATGGCAACGTGATGCCGCAAGTTTGACACCTGTGTTTTAGATGTTCTTCAATAGCAATTAAAATGTTTAATTCAGATGGAGTCCTGAGGATAACATGTTGAACATAAATATTGTTTTCATTCCTCTGCTGGCAATGTTATTTAGAAGTTCTAGCAACAGAAAAAATAGGGAAAAGAAGATGATCTTACAAATGAATTTGGAGAAGTTTTGGAAGGAAATAAACCCTTTGGGAAAGCTGCTTATTTCTGCAGAAAGCATTTAATTAAATGTCCCATTGCTGCTCATGAATGTTAAATACTGAATTTCACTGGAACTCAGTTTCTCTGTCTCTCTCCCCCCTCCCTCCCTCCCTTCCTCCCTCTCTTTCTCTCTCTCCCCCCTCCCTCCCTCCCTCCCTCCATCCATCCTCCCTCTCCCTGTCTCCCCTCTCTCTCCTGGAGTTAATGATGTCAATGGGAGTAAAAGGCACAGTGGGTAATCTAATGATGCAAAATGATGGGTGACAATGCCATACAGACCAATATTTTCTCTTTTTTTTCTAATTTGGGTGGAATTCTTTGTTTTTGAAAGTAGTATTAAGCTTATTTTGGTATACTGTCGTTTTCATATGGTTTCTAATTAAAAGTGGAAGCAAAAATCAGGGGTTTCTAGGGATGGAGAAAATTGGACTACAGATCTTCAGAATGGAATACCACTTCTTTTCTTTTTGATCTCTAATATGTGAAATGGTTTTTATATCTCTATCAGGCATTTCAAGACAGCTTGGAATCTATTCTGTTTCTGCCATTCAATTCAGATATTTTTCCTCTTGAATATTTCTGAACTCAAGCAGGATGCTGATTATCTTTATTTTGTTCACTGTGATACGTGGTGAGTAGCCAGAACTTTTATCTTGTTAGCATCCTTAAAACAGCAATACACAATTGTGTGTGTGAAGCAACTCCCAGACTAATTTTGGGGTTCATTTTTTGTAGTTTACCTATGTATATCAACCACTCATTCTTTTTTTTATTTATGTATTTATTTATTATTTATGTCTCACCTTTATTATTTTTGTAAATAACTCAAGAGCAGCAACTCCTATTTTCCCCACAACAAGAACCATACATATGAGGTAGGTTGGGCTGAGAAAGAGGGTCTGCCCATGGTTGCCTAGCTGGTTTTTATGACTAAATTGGGACTAGAATTCACAGTCTCCTACTTTCTAGCCTGGTGCCTTAATCACTACTAATTTATGGACTAAATGGTTTCTTAATCAATATAGCTAATACATTGCTACTATTTCTAGCCTCTACTTTAGTTTTTATTCTTCTTAAACAGTTCCTATAAGTTTGACTATTTATTTTAATATTTAATAAAATGGCTCTTAGATTTTTCCAGAAGTGTAAAGAATCTGTAAATAAAGCAAGATTTAGCAAACTATATGTTTTTTCTCTTGAATATTTTCAAATAATTAAATATTTGTCAGTTGATTATCTTTTAATGTATTAATTATTAATATTTAAATAAATATGCATATTACTATAATTTCTTGCCCTGCTGATAGAATGAAAGAAGTGTTGCAATAATATAAAATAATCCCACTGACTCCAGTAATACTCCCGCACTTATTGTCAAATGAGATTATATGGCAATAACTGTAATAAACAAAATATGTTCTAGCAATTCATGATTATTAAGGTTTTTATCTGGTTTAATTAGATCTGGGTTAAGATTATTAATTTTCTTTCAAATACTTGTATTTGAAAGAAAATGTTGTATTTATCTTTCTCTCCTTTTTGGGGGGAATAATACGATGACTCAATTCCTTCTTTTTCTTCAAAATAGTTTCAAGCACATTATATGGACCAAGGCTACTGATAAGTCATGTTGGTGGATCAGTGACAATCAAATGCTATTATGCACCCACATCAGTGAATAGGCATGACAGAAAATTTTTGTGCAAGGAATTGCCACATAAAAGCTGTCAAACTATCATTTCTAGCCGTGCTTTCATTGATCAAAATTACAAAGAAAGAGTGTCAATGTACAACAACCCTCAACAAGGGATTTTACAAGTGACAATAAGAGAGCTGAAAAAGACAGATTCCAGTTATTACAGATGTGGTATTGGCAAAATATATAATGGTTTGTATGCTAGGGTGAATTTAACAATTTTAGAAGGTAAGTAAATATTATAGATGCATTCTTCTCCAAGTATGATGACTTATACTAAAATATTACAAAATCAAGTAGTAATAACAGAGTTAGTACTACCAATACTAATCCTATTATTTTGTATGTAATCAACTTGATTTTGGATACATATGCATATCACTTGATTCAAAGAAGGGAAAGGAACAAACAATTTTATATAAAATAAGCAATACTAGTAATACTGATTGCATTTTAGGAAATTATTTTATACAAATTCCTTTAATCTCTTTGCACCTAGTGACATCCATATTTAATCATGCTTATTTTATTTTATTATATTATTATAACCATACTGATTACAATGGTAAAGTTACACATTTGGCCTGCATGTATGTGTATCATTGTATTATTGTAAGTACAGTCCACAATGCTTCAAGGGACATTTTTCTTTTAGAAAAAGCATAAAAATAAGCAATTCAGGCAGAGAAACGTAGTAACTAAAACACATAGAACACATTTCTTGTTGTGTTACAAATGAAACACATTCTATGTGACAGGCAAGTGTTATAACCACTGTAATGGTGAGAAGAGACTGCTGTAATACTGTAGGTGTGTAGGAAAATGAGGAAAAACAGGGAAAATACAAGAAAAAAATTATTTTAAAGATCTTGTTGTACATGCATATATGTACATTTTGATGTTTTATGTTTATACATATGAGTTTAACTTTGTAAGCAAGTTTTATATATGATACACATATACATGTAATGTTATTTATCTCCAGTATGACCAACCAATAGAAAGCAATTCCCACTTCCTTTTTAATAGGGCCCAGAAGTAGAGGAATTTTGAAGATGTGGTAACTGGCAGTTTGGTCTGGATACTTTGCACATTGTTTCTTAGGATTAAACTCAGCCTAATTTGGACACAGGGCAAGCCCAATTTAAGCGCACAGCATAGCTCTGGCCACAGTGGTTGCTGCCTGGAGGGGAGAATTCTCTTTGGTGGCACCTCAGATCTGAAAGTTATTTCCCAGAGGGTTGTGTCTGGTGTACAACATACGTATTATTTATTAGATGTGTATGCCTATCCCAAATACATGACTCCGGGCATCCAACAATGATATATATACAAAAACAGTAAAAATACAGAGCAGCCAGGAAAAATGACAAACTTGACACAACTACCAAAAGGAGTCCATCTCCAGGGTCAAGCACAGAGCCAAGATTCCAAGTCCTTATAGAAAGCCAATGGAAGAGGCAATCTAATCTCCAGAGGAATGATATTCTGCAAAGCGACACCATGGCAGAAAAGGCTTCCTGCTTGGCCCCCACACCCAATACCGCCAGGTTGGGTAGGATGGGCAGAAATGACTGGGATGAGACAGTCCTTAAAACTGTAAAATTAAATGTGACAGTATGTTACTAATAAAATTATTAAAAAGATATATTGAGGTTATCATAGTCTAGTAATACTGGGCATGAAACCTGATCACAAAGGAAATGTGTTAATTTTATTTATTTATTTGAATTTATTAGCTCAATGTTTAAATGTATTAAGTCATTATTAATGAGTTACCTGATTGATTAGAATCACTGATAACAAATAAGTTATAACTGCAAGATTGGGAAGTTGCCATGTGATTTATTAGAGAATAGATAGATTTGTCTTTAGGGCTGTGTTTTGAACAAACTAGGGCTGAATGGGATCAAATATTTTAGTCTGGGGGAAAAACCCCTCAAACAGTATTGAGATAATTTTCTGTAATGTTTGATTTAGTTCCCAACAATATTCTGGTAGAAAAAATAATCAATGTACTTTGTGAACTATTGACCACATAAATAAACAAATGGGAAAAAACCAACCAACCAACCAACCAACAAATAAGAGCTGTTGCTTTGGTGTTATCTTATTTGACTGATTTTAAATGAACATTGTTCATCCATTTCCAAGCTTACGCCTTTTGGATATTCCAATTTGAGTCATCTGGAAATGATTGAAATGATAATCCAAACTATCTGGAATGGTTGTGGCTGGAGCAGTTTAGCTCTCGTTCCCAAAGTGCAACAACTTTTTAGAATAATTTAAATTAATGGTATCTGTTGTAAGCCCAGTCTGAAAAATATGTAAAAAGTATTTCAGTGAATGATTACAATTGCTAGCCATACTAATTTATTTGTTCCTCTTGCTGTGCATTTGGAATGTATAACTAGAATTGAATAATGTTTCATTGCTATCAGATGATCAATTTATCAAGTCTTTGACTATTTTTTTTTTAGTTGAAAAAGATCGGTATTTACCCAAATCCCCTCAAATTGTTTGGGGTAAGCTGACTGGGTCAGTGGAGCTCCAATGTCCATCAGAAACTCCCAGGCTGGAAATGGACAAAATATTGTGCAAGATGATCCATACTGATTGTTCTCCCATAGTGAAAAAAAGCAAGAATAGAAAGCAAAGTCACCGAATTATTATGACCAATGGAGATAGCTCAGGAACTTTCAGTGTTACTATAAATGATTTGAAAAGACAAGACTCTGGAGTCTATGTGTGTGGGACAAGAATATTGGACAAGAATGCAAGTGTGAAAACTATACAGCTGCAAGTAGTGGAAGGTAAGCATTAACAGAAAAATGATAGAAGGTAACTGTAGTCCCACAAAAGAAAACTGTACAGGGGAAGAGGAAAAACCGAGATGGAACAGATTCCTCATTGTATAATCCCTTAAACTTATTCAGTTTTCTGACTCTGTGCTATTGACTCAAGGCAAATATGCTACTGTAGTAATCACCTATTGGCTTAAATTGAAGGTGCACCTGAGGCATAAAGTCTGCAACATCATGTCTATGGAGATACTCAATCATGCAGGTCATGGTTGTCCCAAAGGTGCTTTTTCAAGAGGCAATTGGACTTTTCTGGTTTTCTTTGAAGGCGTTTCACTTCTCATCCAAGAAGTTTCTTCAGCTCTGAAGAAGTTTCTTGGATGAGAAGCAAAACATTTTCAAAGAAAAACCAGGAAGTCCCGTTGCCTCTTGAAAAATCACCTTTGTTTCAGTCTGCAAGATCAGCTCTCCAACTCCTATGATGGCTTTTGGAGCCAAAATGTGCTTCTTCTTGCTCTTTCTTTGAAGTAGACCTTCAGCTGGCATGTTTCCCATGATGATTTTTCTTAAACAGTAGTTCATCTCATTCTTTGGAAGGGAGTTAAAGCAGGGGTGGGATTCTACCGCTTCTATCCGGTTCTATAGAACCCCTTGTTAACTTTCTAAGCAGTTCGGAGAACTGGTAGTTAGAAGCAATCTTCTTTTGTTTTTTTCCACCCTTATTACATTTTTGGCAGACAGCCTAGACTTACTGTCTCCGGAGCTTTTAGGGCTTGACTTTCTTAAAGGGGAAGGGTTGTTTTAAGATTTTTACACTGCTGTTGTGAGGAAATACTTCCCTGGACAATCAGCACTCTGAAGAAATAATTGAATAATGAAGCAAAGCTTTTAGTGACAGGGAACCAAGATGAGTGACATTCAGCAAGGCTTCTTGGCTAGCTAGAAGGATTGACATTCAAATGTGAGTTTACATACCCTTTCTGAGTTTTGGACTGAAACTGTTTTTTTGTGCAGGTTAATTCTGTGCTTGGTGATGTTTAATCCTGTGTTTATTGATGGGATAATTTTCCCTATTCAGCTTCAACAAGCAACAGCTACTGTTGTGATTTAATTATTTGTATTGTGTTTGAATTTTTTCTTGCCCCATGGTTTCTTTTTCTATCTGGGGAGGGGGGGGTCTTCCTTCACTGCTTTAGTACTATCTGGCACTGTCCTTTTGCAGTATACTTCCAAGAGGCAGGATGCAAGCTTGCCACTGATTTTTTTTTACTGTCTTTCTGGCGGGCATGTGACCTTTCCTTAAATCTGGATGATTTCCTTAGGGTATCTTGTGAGGTGAGTGAGACCAGCTGGTATTTTTAAGTGGTGCAAATGGATCTAAGGATTGCTTTTTCTGGATGTGCTTTTTCTGGAGAGCTTAAATGACCTCTCTGCTAAAGGGTTTCACTTTATGAGCAAGAGTTGGTTGCTTGATAGTTATCACTGCATTTTAACTATTTTCATTCCTCAAGGTGCTCTGGCACCCTGTCTGATTTGTAACTCTGGCTTGCAGGTATTTTTAATCTAATGATTGGTATTTAGAGCAGCTTTTTGCAAGCAAAGAGCTTTTTGTACTTTTGTACAGGTAATCCTTGACTTACAACACTTTATTTAGTGACCATTCAAAGTTACAATGGCACTGAAAAATGTGACTTATGACCATTTTTCACACTTATGACCATTGCAGCATCCCCACTGTCATGAGAGGCCAGGCGAGGAGAAGCGCCCCTTGACATGAGTGATGTCGAGTTAGCCATGCCCACCCAGTCACATGACCACCAAGCCACAGCCATCAACTAAGCCATGCTCACAGAACCAGTTGTTAAAAAAACTGAATCCCACCCCCGAGTTAAAGGGGTTGACTCTTCTCACTGGATAAATCTTCCTACCAATATCTTTGCTCTTCTTGACTTTTTCTGTCTCACCTTCCCCCTACAGTTCTCACTATCTACCATCTCTCATCTCAACTGTTTTGCATTCTATATTTCTTTCATCTTTCATTTGGTAGATTTCAGCTCCTGAGAGGCAATTGTTAAATTTCCTGCAGTTTTGTGAGCTAGTTGAAAGAAGAGCTGAGCCACAACTCCTAAAAAGGCCAATCAGCTGTTTGGTAGCTTATGGCATGGCAATGGTAACAGAGGAGCTGTCAGAGCTGGTAGTAATACATATATATCAGCACAGAACTGTCTATACTTGATTTAAATTAACATTAAGAAGCCTAAATATTCTGTAGTTCTATTTGTCTCTATGTAATATATCAAAATGGTATCAAGTCATTTTCTTTTGTTCAAACTGTCTGTTAGCTCAAGACAGTCAAGGGTTTGTACTTGCAATAATGTTTTTTCTCTTATTCATAATTTACACAAATTCCACTAAGCTGCTTCCCAAAATATATGCAGATGGAATCATATGCAAATTTGAAAAAAGTCTGTTCACAAAAAGACTGTAATTCCTTGAAAATGTGTAGACTTAATACTAATTTACCAAAATCCCTTCTGACTATCATCTGCCTGAGGGGATTATCAAATTCAGCATAGTATAACTTGTCAGGACATTTAGCTTTCCTTATATTAAAGGCCCATCTAAAATTCAGAAATGACAAAACTATTGAATTTGACCTTTTTTTCTCAGGTAATTTTGCATTTTTTAAAAAATAGGAAAAAAGAAAACTTTCAAAATAAAATTTCCAAGAGAAAAAATCTCTCTATATACAGTATAAATATAGTTATTAGAATTATTTTTCTACAAATATCCTTTGTCTGTAAATATGGCAAAACATCCAATTATGTGAGATTCTACTTGCAGTCTTGCTAATGCTGTTTAACTAACATTAATTTTTGAACAGCTGGTGGGCAGTCCAGAATGTTTATAAAAGGAAGAGCTGAAAATCACTGGTAAAGCACATGCTTTGTAGGCAAGAAGTTAGAGGCTAACCAGATCATGGCTATTTTAATCTCCAGAGAGTACATGCTACCACAGAGAAGTCATGACTTTGGGACCCAACAAGATCATGTTTTTTAATGTAAGGGACCTGGATCACACTTTCCTTGCTGGATCTGGTGGAACAAGCAAAGACAATGGGAGATATGACAGACCTGCAAATGGCCTTTGCATAGTGTTTGCCTTATTCTTCCACTGCTTTTTCTAGAAAAAAATATAAGAATTGGAAGGCCTCTTAGATTTCAGTTTCCAACATTTAAGCCTGTCGGCTACAATTCTGATATGTTTCTGACAATTCCAAATAATGCTACTCAGACGGAAGGCTGATTTTTAACATATAAAAACAGGAAGTTTTATCTTGATTTAGAAACACTTTGAATTTCAAGCTATAACATTATTTTATTCTATTTTTTAAACAGAATCAGTTTTCTCTACTATCTTAAATGATACCCAAACTACATATGAATCACAGACTGTACCTTCGTACTGGAATGTGACATCTGCAGATGAAGTCTACCAAGAAAGGTATAGTTAATGAACACAGATGGTTTCTAATTAAAACATTTTTCCATTCATTAGTGATAAGATTTTTTCTGAAACGTAAGCTTCAAACATTTTATTACAACTTGTCTCTAAAGTAGCCATCCCTAACTTGAATCCTTTGAAAACTAAGACACAGGAAAGAATAAGAAACTGGATTGAAAATAAAAGGAATTGTATTGAATAGCCTATAAACAGAGAGTATTTAAGTGCTGCACGTACTGGACTAACCAAATAGTTGGATTCAGACTGAATGTATTTCTATTTTTTCAAATAGGTCTGTTTAGAACATGGCTAAGTCTGAATACTGTCCAAAATGCTGAGGTTTAGTTTGTGGTATTTTTAGAATTCAGCTTCATAATCAACAACGGTGAACTGTCTAGTATATTTCAGTTTTCTCCTGAAATGTATACCAGGTATACTCATGAATAAGCTAAGAATTTTAGGTGCCAAAATTTACCTCAAAAAAGAGAGTCAACTTATCCCATGGATGGTCTTGTCCTCAACTATATACTGTAATACTTGCTTTAAAGTACCCATATTTCCCATATATACCTGCAAATAAGTTCAATTTTTTAAATCAAAAATATCATTAAAATGTGGGTGGTATATATATTTGTTTTCTTATATATATATTTGTTTTCTTAAGTTTTCACGGGTATTTATATGTATGGTATTCAGCTTTGTTTGGGTATTTTCCCATGTCATTATAGTTGTGCTTTTAAAGTTATAGCACTAGTCTGACTCACAGATGAACACAATACAGAAGCCTGATGATGGCATCTGCCATCATCAGGCTTCTGTATTGTGTTCATCTGTGAGTCAGACTTTCACAGCCATTTCTGTTTTAAATTTGGTGCTAGCCTACTGCTGTGCCAGAATGGTTTTTTCTTCATCCTGATTGGTCTTGGAGTCTTGGTCTGTGTTTATTGGTCTTGGAGTTTGCTGTGTTCTGCTTGATTGGTGTTTCTAGTATCTTCTGTCTGTTTTGTAGCTTTTTTTTGTCTTGATTGGCTGGCAACATTGTGTTTCCTGTATTGGAGGCTTTTAGTGTGGCTTGGCTCCGAGTAAACGGACGGCTATCATTTATTAGGAAGCTAGGTTTCATCTGGGTGCCTGGTTGGGGTTGTTTGAGCTGGAGGTATCAGGGGAGATCTGTTTTTGTGCCCATTTTTGTGTTCATCTAGGCAGGTACTTATTCTTCTATTCGTCTGTTCGATTTATAGGTTTCATGCCCTGCCATATACATTGGACAGACCAACTATAATGACATGGGAAAATACCCGAACAAAGCTGAATACCACACACACACACACACACACACACATAATTTGAAAGTTGGATTTCCCACGGATGGCCTTAATATTAAATACTAGTATTTTCTAGTATATTACTGGAATATACCAGACGGATAAATATACTAGCATTACTGGAATGCAGTAGCATTACTGAAGAATACTAGATTGTTAACAACTTAACCAAAAACTATACTTGTTCATATCATATCTAAGAAAAAATTGGAAATAATTCTTGGGTTGCAATGAATTAATTTATCAATTAATTAAAGATAAGCCAGTAGATGGCACTCCTTTCTTATGGTTTATTAAACTGGTAGAGATGTGTACATTTCAGTTAGAAAACAAGATGTGGTTTCTGCTACAAGATAAGCAAAAAGCAGATAATTTGTGTTGTCGTCTTACCATCCAATCAGTCTATTTTGCCTAATAAGTATACACAAAACTTCTTAATCATAAACTTTTTGATTGAATGGTTCAAGAACGACCTTTAACAGTAAAACATGCCAACTTCAGAACAGGTTTTTCTGCTAAGGAACAATGCATTACTTTGCACCCCTTCTTGTGAAATAGACTATTTCTTTTGTTGCTTTTATCACTCCAAATGCAGAATTTGATTCAATTCCTCATGAGTGGTTGTGCAAAAAATTAGCAGCTTCCTCTACTGATGCATGTTTGGGCAATTTATGATGTTGTACAAAGGTACTACAAAGCCAAGATCCAATACTCAAATAGTGAAAAATCGACGCCCCTTATTCCAAATTCTAAGAGAGTCAAAAAGGACTTGCCCACTCCCATTATTTAATTTTTATATCAGTGGTATTCATTGTTTAGGCTCTTAGTAAAGCAGAATTCCACCCCCATTTCTTGGCTAGAAAAACCACCTCCCATCTGCTTTATGGTAATGATGAATAATATTGTCTATATCTCAAATAGAGTTGCAATCCAGGCTTCACACAATAACTTCCCTTTGCAACCTAAAATACTAGAAATTAATCATGCACAAACAAAGGTATATTCACATTGCAGCACCCTAATCACCCCCACAGCTGGAAGATCAACAGCAACTGAACTGAGCAGGTAAATGCTTTTAAATATCTTGGCATTTATTTCCAGTCATCTTCTTCCTTGAAGCTTCACTCCTCAGATCTTTCTCTGCATGCCTGAGCAATCTCAATGCAATAATTACGTATTCAACATGTAGGGCAACAAACACATCCCTGCAGTAATTAAATATTCTAAAACTAAAGTGCTATACCTTCCTATGACCAAACAAATTTGCAGTTTCCATATGATTTAAAGGTAATTTTTGATTAATTAAGTTTTGCATGTTAAACATGAGTTTAAAAAAAAGGAAAAAGTTTTCCATCAAGCACAAGACAGATGCCAGTGGAGCAACTCTTAATGATCTCTGCTGATTCCTAATTTTATTCTTACATATTTCTGGTTGTTTGATTTGGTGCCACCTGACTCCAGATGGCTCACAAAACATCATACAATGTGAAAATAGTTTAATACGAGGCAACAAGTAACAAAACCAAACTAGAACAGAACATAACAGAGGGAGGGAGGGAGGAAGAGAGAGAGAGAGAGAGAGGGAGGGAGAGAAGATAAACCTTGCAGACACCCAATAACTTTCCACATCCAACAAAAGGGGCTTTAGTCACCCTGACTCAAAGCATAGGAGAGCAGTCAGATCTTTACAGTGATTCAACCTGTCCTTTCATCTGAACTCTCTATTTCTGTCTTATGTTTGTTTCAGATTGACGGCATCAACTTGTTTTAATTTTACCTTTCCCGATTTAGTACAAAAATCTAGTGGTTGGACATTGGCACCAACTTCCTCAGTATGGCATTAAGCTGAGGAGACTTTCTATAATACGATGTAAATGTGATTCTCCTAATTCTTAGACCATGATATTGTTTATTGTACAATACTGAGGAGAGCACTCACTAATTAAAACCATGCAAGGTGTTTGAAACTGAGACCCAGTTGTTATGTGACCCAAATCCAATCAATTCTGGCAGATGTATAGCAATGGCCATAATATGCAACTTTTTTTGGAGGTTTTTGGTGTTTTTTGTTGGTTTCCAGCAAAAAACAGCCATTCAAATGAATAGGTTTGCCTGACAACTGCAGCATTTACTTAATGAGTGCTCTGAAAAGGTCATAAAATTACTTCTGATCACATGGGTCCCTCGACTTGCAACCATAAATCCAACTCAATTATAGTTATAAATTGAGGATTAGCCCAAAGCTGAAACTGAGTAAGGCATTTAAAGTCCTCCAGAATGCCATCAGGGGCATCAACTGAGATAAAAGTAACTAGTCTTCCAATTGAATAAACTGGGGAGGGTTTACCATATTTCAGATGGCTGGCATCTTGCCACAAAAGGCACACTTCCAAGGTCCCTATAGATGGCACTGATTAATCAAAGGTGTGCCAATCCTGTTGGATCAAGACCAACACTACAAGAAAGGCCCATCAAGAAAACCAGGTGAAATAAAGCCTCACAAATCATGATAAGCACCTCAAATCACACTCAAAAGCAAAGTAACAACCAATGTAGTTCATTTAACAGGGGTGTCACGTGCCTATCACTGTTTACACTGCTGCATTCTGGAGCAGTTGAAGTTTCCAGAGGTTTCCAGATGGTCTTAACGCATCAGTTATAATTCCTACTCACTTGCTCGAAGAGGTAACCAAATCTACACCCCTTCCCCCCAAAATAGAATGAAGAGTTAGTTTCTTAAAAGCCAGAACATTCAATGTTATTATCTACAATTTTCCTCAGTATTAGGTAGAATCATTATGACTGATAAAGAGTCCTCTTCATCATGGGAACAATTACATTTCCTGATGGTTGGTATTACACTAAATGTACAATAGGCATTTTAACAGCATATGTGATAAATTTCTAATCTGTATTTAAGTGTTTTGATGATCCAGATGATGATTCTTCTCTTTAATTTAACCAATTTCCAGATACAGGTAGTCCTCAACTTACAACAGTTCATTTAGTCACTGTTCACTATGACCATTTTTTACACTTATGACTGTTGGAGCATCCCTGTGGTCATGTGATTTACATTTGAATGCTTGATAACTGGTTCATATTTATGATGGTTGCAATATCCCAGAGTGATGTGATCCCCTTTTGTGACCTTCTGACAAGCAAAGTCAACGGGGAAGCTGGATTCAGTTAACGACCGTGCTACTATTTTAACAACCACAGGGATTCATTTAAACAAATGTGGCAAGAAAAGTCATAAAACGGGGCAAAACTCAACAAATTTCTCACTTAGCAACATGAATTGTGGGCTCATTTATGGTTGTAAGTCAAGGACTACCTGTACTTCAAAAAGGTTGCAAAATACTTATCAATAGATATAGCTTATAGAAATGATTTAGTTTCTTCCTTGCATTATTAACTATTCAAATTTTTCTTCTAACTTTTGATTATTTTTATAGGCATTAAACTGGACTATTTATTTATTAAATTTATTTGCTGCCCATATCACCTCAGGGCAACTGTGGTAGCTTACAAAGTTAAAAGCAATAAACAATACAAATCTATATTTCAATAAAATTATAAGTTAAGGTAAAAAGATGGGAAGGGAAGGAAAAGGTATGCAGGGTGTAAGGTGGGATCTGCCATTAGTCCGCCAACCACCTCTAGCATGAAACCCACTACTGGGGCCCCAAGCCAATTGTCAGATTGAGGTTTTCAGGACCAGGTCAGGAAGATGGGGGCAGATCTCATGTAAGGAGTGGGGTAAGATGTTCCAAAGGGCAGGAACCACAGTAGAGAAGGTTCTTCTCCTGGACCCCACCAGCGAAAAATTCCTTGTCTGAGGGGATTGATGCATTTTTATGGATGGACTATGAATAAATAAACTCCAAACTCTAGTAAAGGATCTTGTGGACATTTATGCTATATCTAATTTCAGATCTTCATACACTGAGCAAAATCTATTGGCAATTGTAATACCAGTTCCTGTTCTGCTTCTACTTTTTGCTGTCATGGTTATTTTGGTTCTTGTTAAAATAAGGCAAAGGAAGACTGGTAAGTAAAATCATATAATCCCCAAACAGCAGGCCTCTTAATCAAAGAAAAAGAAAAGAGGAGAGGTGAGGTGAGGAAAGAGGAGGAGAGAAGAGATGAGGGGAAGGGAGAAGATAGATTATTCCTAGTAACTGCATCCATTCAATATTCTAGGCAAATCAGGTTCGTAGTTGGATAGCCAGAGCACCTACATCCGTGTTTGTCAAGTCTACTGTATAACACCAGAGTAAATATTGTCTTTTACTTAGAAGAGTTCTAAATAATTTTGAAGCTCTCTACAAGACAGAGGGAAATATTTTGAATTAATTTTCACTGTTAAATACTCAGTCGAAGATATGTGAAGTATTTCTTCTCTTTTATATGAAGTAAATATTTAAGAATTGGTTTCACTACATTTTTAATAAGTGCTGAGAGCTTTTGAATTGGCAGCGTTCAAAATATTGTTTTTGCTATGATATATTTATTTCATTTCTTCCAAGTAATAATGAAATATTAACTTTACAATGTTACCTTTCTACATGGGGATATATAACATGAGATGTCTTGAACAAACCGTAACTCAGCTAGGCTCATATTAAATAACTGAGCCCAATTTTTCTGCTACTGAGAATAACAGAAGGGACTCTTCAAACTTCTAATTACATTTATGGAATTTTGTATTTTGGGCACAGTTGTAACCAAGATTATTGATAATCCCACAGATGCCACTCCTTAAATCATTTTGTTTTCTTGCAGAATTTGAAAATAATGGGGTGCCAATATTGTTAAAACAGTCAGGAAAGCTGCTTATAAGTCTATATGTTTAGTTAATGAAATTGGTGGTATAAAGATTTGATGGACCAATCATAACTGTAGCTCTGAAATCAGACCTTGCTTTTTTATTTCCACCATAAATCTTAGAATCTTCTCACTGACCAAAGGATTACAGTCTGAATTATGTAAAGATGACCAAGGCACGAGTGACCATAAGCAAGGCCTCCTAGTCCAGAAAAGGGCACAATTGGCACACTAGATGAATCTATATAAAAGCTTCCCTAGCCACCATTGCCACCTGCTCCTTGAATAGGAGCCGGGAGTCCAGAAGCATCCCTGAGTTGTGCACCTGCTCAGTTTGGGGAAATGCCACCCTGTGCAGAGTCAAAGATAGAATATTATCTAGACCTGGATGGCCAAAAACATGGAACTACTTTATCTCGCCAGATTATTCAGATTACTCTGTCTGTAATGCACATTGCATATATACAGGCCTACATACATACAAGCCTGCATATATACAGGCCTAGATGCAGGGGTGTGATTCAACTGGTGTAAGAATTGGTTCAGTGAACACACACTTTGCACGCATGCAGAGCATTTGCTACTGATCTTCTCCAGCGATCTCTATGTTAAACAGCGGATGCATGGCAAGCCACTGTGCTGTGCAAATCAGCTGAGCTTGAAAACCAGGATATAAAGCACAGACTAGAGTCCGGGCAGGCGGATAGGCTCAACAGCTGATCATTGGAGAGAACGGTTGACTCACAGCTGATTCTTGGAGCTAACAGTTCACCCAAACCAGGCCAAATTGGTAGAATCCCACCCCTTTCTAGATGGTCCTGTTTAATTACAGACACCTGATAAAATGAATGGCAGTTTAGAACAAAAGCTACATTTGCAAGCACATACATATTTAGCTACTGCCTTATTTGATATATTTTTGCAGCCAAGTTTGGCAAAAATTGATATTTTCAAAGAGTATTCATATATGTATGTCTGTGCACAGACATATGGGTCTTGGTACATGTGTGAATGTGTATATATGTATATGTATGGTATGTTCCAGAGGTGGTAATCAGCAGGTTTTGACCAATTCTGGAGAACCGGTAGTGGAAATTTTGAGTAGTTCAGAGAACTGGCAAATACTACCTCTGACTGGAGATTTTACAGTATCCTTTCCCTGCCACGCCCACCAAGCCACGCCCAAAGAACCGGTAGTAAAAAAATTTGAATCCCACCACTGGTTTGTTCCCATATTTCAAGAAAAATCAGGGTACAGTAATTCTATTATGTTATATCAATGGTTAATGGATAAAAATGTAAGGATCTGTTTTCTTTTTTAAAGCATTGCTTAACATTACTTCAAAAAGTCCTGAAGGAGAAATGCTATCAACTAGTCAAAAGCATTCGGAGGAACATACCCAAAATGATAATACAAATTCAGCAGAAGAAGATGAGGGTGTTCTAAATTCTGATGAAGGTACAATATTTTCACATCTGTGACTCAAATTCCCTTCAACTTTTCATTCCTTACTAATAGACCTACTTTAGCTGGGTTGCAAAATCTGGCCTATTTGGAAACAAATATTAAAATATTTAATAATAATTAAAAACTATTTGAAAACATTGTTTTTGTCATCTGGAGTTTACGAGATATGGTATGCTTGTCTTTGGATACAAGTGAATTTAGGCTGCAGCAACTTGTCAAAATCAAGCACTCTGATGCCTACCAGCTATTCTGGACAAAAATTACACATTATTTTGCTATGTTGTGGGAACTAATAAAAGATGAGGCATCTGAAGGGCACCAAATTGTCATCATTTATTATTTAAAAAAGACATTTGGAAAGTTATCTAGGTTCTTGAGAAGAACTTGATGCATATGAAAGTAAACACCAGCTAAAGAACCAACAGCTGTGAATTTATATTGTTATGAATAGATGATAATATTTTTCTTCTCAATAATTATTGTGTTTTTGTATTTACCCTCCCTTAAATAATATTTTGCAATAATATCACTCTCTTGTAGTCAATCCAAAATTTTTATGATGAATGGATCCTATAGCAGAGCCCTGGCCTTATCTTCTGTTCATATAAATTTCCAATAAAAGAGAATATTTATAGCTCAGAACTAAAAGCAGTCTTTGGTGTTCTCTGAGCTTGATTGTTTTCTTGCAGACATTTCATTACCCAAACTAGGTAACATCATTAGTGCTAGTGCAAGAAAATAAGCAAACTCAAAGAACACCAAGGACTCCTCATATTAAGTTCAAAGTGAAAAAAAAAACAATTTATGTGGGACTTTAAGATGCTATAGTTTACATTTTTTAAAAGCTAGTAAGTGCATATTTATCAGCTAAGACAGTAAATTATATAATTGAAATGTAAAGCTTCAGAAAATAATAAATTATTATAAATAAAAAATATCTAAAATATTACATTAGATAGGAATTTCCACTATCAAGCTTCCTTTCTGTCAATTTTGTATAAACACAATTATTCTAAAATACTTATGTGCTTAAATCCATAGGATATCAAATTAATTCCTCTCTTTTTTATTCTCTTTTAGCAAATGCCACAGTTACTATCTATTGTTTAGTCAATCCTGAAGACTCAAGTAAAAATGACTGATCGCCTTCAAAATAACTTTGTTCATATTATACAGAGAACCTATGGAGATACCTGTTAGATTATACAGATATGATTACCATTTTGCATTAGCTTCTTTCCCCACTTTATTTTGTAATGTAATCTCATCCCATGCCTATTTTACTGGAATGAAATTTGCTAAGATTTAGCAGTAAGCTTTGGAATCTGGGGGTAATGGCAGAATACATAGCCATCATGTATTACAATAATGTGACTCTCTTAATCGCATTCTCAAAATGAGAATGATGCAAATTACATAATCAGATCATTTGTGTGACAATGTCATGATGCATTAGACAGACAACCAGTTTGGTTCACTAAAAATTCAAATGGTCACCAGGTGGTACAAATTCAGTCCCACAAATTACAGATATTGCAGATCAGCATTTACTGAACGCCATCTTATTTTTATTAAGGAGCATTTGGATATCTGATATAGGCTGTTCCAGTGCAGCAGCTGACAGTAGAGGAAGTGATGGTTATAACTACCCCAGTGTTCCCAGGGCTAAACTTACTCATTTTCTTTTCTTATTATGTTGCCTCATGAGTAAGATATCCATATATCTTGCTCATTCAAAATGAAGGGCTAATACTTTGAAACGTGTTTGTTGAATAAAAATCCTTATTCTATATATGATACAACTTTCTCCCACTTTTGATGCTTCACACCAGATTTAATCTTAAATATGTGGCCTCTCAAGTTTGTTCAGTGAACGATAGCTGTGACGGTTGTATTTTACCATTTAAGAGATATTTTACCCCTTGAGGTGAAGTTCTATAGATATTTAATAATAATAATTAAATAAGTTTTCACAGTGAGAACTTGCTGTCCTAAAAGCTCATTTGGATATAACACCCTGTAGCTATTTTATACAACAGTGTTCTTTATGTTCTTGACCAGTTTGAAGATTTTAGAAGATTTTAGATTCATAATTAAAATTACCTTTTTCCTAATTTCCATCTCTTAGTATCTTTTAGAAATAGTACAATTGTAGAGAGTAGATTAAGCTATCAAGCTCTGCTGTAATACATTTGCCTATGTGCAAATATGTATTTAAAATAAAATTATTAAATACACATATATAATGGTAAATTATTAATTCAAGCCATAAAAGCCCAAGTCACCAATGTAACGTGCGCTTCTGTAGAAATATATAAAACCCACCATACTTAAACTGACATGGAATTTTGTAATGATGGCAACCATATTAAATAGTAATAATAATAAAAACAATAATTGATTTTTAAAAATGATTTTTGAGGCTTCTAAGAGATGTCTAACACTGCATGCATGTGAGGGCTCCCTTTCCCTCCCTCCCTCCTTCTCCCTCTCTCTGTCTTTGTTCTCCCTCCCTCTTCCCTCCCTCCCTCCCTCTCCCTTCCTTCCTCTTTTTGTCTTTGTCTCTCCCTCCCTACTTCCCTCCCTCTCCCTCTCTCTCTCTGTCTTTGTCTCTCCATCCCTACTTCCCTCCCACTCCCTCTCCCTCCCTCCCACTCTCTCTGTCTTTGCCTCTCCCTCCCTACTTCTTACTTCCCTCCCTCCCTCTCCCTCCCTCCCTCCTTCCCGCTCTCTGTGTAAATTAAACACATCAGAAGTGTGTATAATTCAGTGGTAACGTAAGCCAAAAAAATTTCAAAGAAAGATAGGCAGTTCTTCATTGCTACTAGTTTTAGTCTCAAAGTTTCATTTCCTAGCAATTCAGTTTCAAAGAGTAACAGCAGTTATTGAAATCTGAAATGAATTCTTAGCCCTCATTTAAAATGATAAGAACTCATAATTAGTATACAACTCACCATAAATCAGCTGCCAAGCAATAAGTCAACGTTTTTCTCTTCAAGTTGCCACATAGTGTCCAATCTAAAGAACTAAACTAAATAATTCAGGAAGATTACAGTGGCACTTTAGTCAAGTGAAGCCTTGGGCAGAATTCTTCTGATAATATTTAATGGCAAAAAGTCAAATAATTCTGCAATTGTGGTTATGCAATCCAGGGGACTTTGGCCTTTTTTGTGTGGTAAATAGTAGAGGTTATATATGTCATAACCCTAAACCTGGAAGGAGTTTAAACAAGCAATTCATTGTACGGTGTACATATAATGAGAAAAATCAGAAATGTAACCAGATAGTTCCACCCACTTGAATTTTTGTCTCCTAGAATTTTTGATATAAATTACTACAGTACTAACCTTATTATGGTTGGTTGCAGAATCAGCCAAATGTTTAAACTGGATTGGCATTTTTATCCACTTATTAAGTCCTTCTTGAAGATCTGGAATAGGCAGGTGTTAATAATTATTTAATAATATTAAAGATATTGTCACAGGAAGTAACCTAAGTCAAACTGCCTTTGCAGACTGATGGTGATTTTGTCAATGCCAATAGTATTTATACAATGCTCCAGATGCTCCAAGATACCTATCACTATGGGTTCTATGTTCGCTTTCTTTTGCCATGGCTGTTCTAGTTCTATTTGCATGTCTTTGTATTTTGTGATTTTCCCCAGTTCTTTCCCATTTTTGTTTGTTTGTTGTTGTTTTGCTATCTCCAGGTATTGCAATATCCATGATCCAGACTTTTTTTCCCTTATCAACAGTGATTATGTCTGGGTGTTGTATAGCAGATGCTTGTTTGTTTTAAAGTCCCAGAGCAGATTAGCTTCTTCATTTTCTATTATTTTGTCTGTTTATGGTCCCACCAGTTCTTACTTGCCAATCTAAACTCCAGTCCAAATATTGGCTATATATTTGGACAATGTTAAGTGGTGATTCCATTTCAGATGGTCTTTTCCATAAACATTCAGGTCATCCATATAAAGGGGCTGGCCGATGTTTTTGATGTTTGGTATTCATGTCTGACTTGTTTTGTAGTATTGACAGAGGAATCAGTGCTATGAGAAACAGTAGTGGTGATAGTGAATTTCTTTGAAAGATTCTCTCTTGATATTAATCTCTCCCAATCAGAGGTGGTATATAGCAGGTTCTGACCAGTTCTGGAGAACAGGTAGTGGAAATTTTGAGTAGTTCAGAGAACCAGAAAATATTACCTCTGACTGGAGATTTTACAGTATCCTTCCCTTGTCACGCCCCTCAAGCCACACCCACAGAACCAATAGTAAAAAAAATTGAATCCCACCACTGCTCCCAATATATATCACCATTGACCAGCAACCGTGTCTTCCATTATACCATTGATCTTTTCACAAAGCTTCAGATCTTTTTACTGACTCCTATTATTTTTAGGCACTTGATTATCTAGTTATGTGGCAAGGAGTCAGATGCCTTCTTGTAATCAATCCAAGCTACGGTCAAGTTGGTCTTCCTTCTTTTACAGTTTTCCAAAATCGTCTTGTCAATTAGGAACTGATCTTCTTTTTCCTCTGCTGTTTTTTTCTGCTTTGGTGGAAAATAACATGTTTTCAAGTGGATGCTGTTGAACTGCATCTGCTACCATACCAGTTAGCAACTTTAATGTTGTTGGTAATTAGGTAATTGGCCAGTAACTGCCAATTTAGTTGAATCTTTCATTAACTTTTGTTGAATCTTTCATTAACAGGTAGGTTTGGCCAGATATTAATCAATGTTTGCAAAGGTGGTGAATATCTGTAGCTCAAGTGGAGGATGAAGGTTGGAGCTTCATTCTCTGAGCTTATGGGTTGGTTTCTGAATGTTTCATTACCAGGCTAAGTAACATCTTCAGCGGAAGTAATCCAGAG